CCATTGTTTTCTCCTCCAGATTGTTCATCCAGCCTATCTTATTTAGACAGACCTGCGGAGATAATAACATGCACAAAAACAGACAGAGCAGATATAACCCTTGGTTATAAAGTTGTTCCCGTGCTCTCTCCCCATGACGACCACCAAGCAGGGCTGAGGTGAGCATGCTACCATGAAAACAAAACAAAAAGAGCAAAACCAAGCAAAAGAAAACAAAACAATAAAAAAGCCAATAACAAAATACAACAACAACCAAAAAAGAAAAGCTTTTGGTTAGTTCAAAGACTGTTTGTTGGCCTTTAGGAGTGTTTTCCGGTCGAGTCTGATAGGGTGTCACGCCCTGGCCCCAAAGTCTATCTTTGGTATTCCCCGGGGATTTAGTTGCTCTGTTTCCTTGCTGTTCTGTTGTACACCCTTAGTGTTTTTGCCTCAGTGTGGTGGGATCAGATCGGGCACAATTCCCACACTGTGTCTCCCGTGCTGTCCTGTTGAGCTATGGGTCAGTGAGGGATGTCATGTCTCACAGTGGGGCTGGCCATATGGTCTTCTCTGTGGATTGGCTGCTCTTAGCAGGAATATCGTTGTTAAGGCTTGGTGGGCCAGGATGTGCTCCACTCTCTCCTCCTCCCCCTTCATTTGCTCCTGTGTGCTCTGATCAGACATGTCCCCCTCCCTGAGCTGCAGCTTCAGTGCTGTCCTCTGAGATAAATTCTTCTGGGGGGAGGGGCAGCTGTCTACGTAGTTTGGATTAGGGCCGGCCCCTCATCTTCAATTTCTTTACCACTGGTTCTGCATAACAATTATATAAACAGAACTTTCTTGTAGGCATATACCTATTATCCTATCACAGGCAGCAGTGTACTTCTAGGTAGATCTTGAAACATTCTATATGACAATGAATGCAACGCCATTTCTCTTAATAGTAAACCATGATTGTCCAATTAAGAATGGCCAATGCCAGTCCCTTTCTGCTCTCTAATGCCAAGGATAGCTATCTTGTGCTCCACTTCATTTGACAACTTCCAGATTTCCAAGGTTCATACTTCACACATTTCAGGCCCAATCACCAACAGATGTTTGCAGCGGTTTCTTCTCGTTTTGAATTGTGCTCCACCAGCAGGTGACTAACATTATAAAACGGAATCTGAAATGACACTAACAATGCCCACACACTATGTTCAAGAGAAAAGAAATGCCAAACAGTAAGTGGTATAGTACTACAAAGAAGCTTTGGCTGTCAATGCCCTCTTGAAATTGTATATAGGGTCCATGTACAAAAAGAATGTTTGAAAGCTTTGGTGGCAGCTGCACAATTCTGATTGACGTGATTGAACTATGAAGGATATTATATATTAATTTAACAAAATAAACTGTATATACATAGATATGTGCATAAGCACTTATGATGTAGCTATAAAAATTTTGGAGTCAACACATTTAGGTCCTGGAATTTATCAAAGCTGAATCACTGGACAGTAAAGCCTCAGTTTTCATCATCTGTAAAAGAGGGATGGCTATCATTACCTGCTGCTCTATAGATATGCTGAGCACTAAACACTTAGTGACAAAGATTAAAGGCTACTGAGAAAGGATTGAAATTAAAAAGAATTTTAGTTTTATTTGCACCTACAATCAATGCCTATCGGTTGTCCTAGAGTTATGAGACATACTGCCTTGGGCAAACCTACTGCAAATGATTTTACTGAAAAGGAAAGTTGACGC